ACAATGAGAGGTGTACAAGGCAGCCTCCCACCCAGCTAAGTTGCGTCCTAGCACCCAGCTAGGCTGCGTCCTAGCACCCAGCTAGGCTGCGGTCCTCCACCAGACTGAAGGACGCCTCCCATGCGTTCAGGGATCGATGCGCCCGTTTGGGTTTAGAGTGGAGACACAGTTGGATAGCCTTCATACCCTGACCACACCACAAACTGTGAGTCTTGAAGACAGCTACGAGTCTTGAAGATGGCTTAAAGATAGCTTAAAGATAGCTAGGAGTCTTGAAGATGGCTTAAAGACAGCTTAAAGATAGCTAGGAGTCTTGAAGATGGCTTAAAGATAGCTAGGAGTCTTGAAGATGGCTTAAAGATAGCTAGGAGTCTTGAAGATGGCTTAAAGATAGCTAGGAGTCTTGAAGATGGTTTAAAGATAGCTAGGAGTCTTGAAGATGGTTTAAAGATAGCTAGGAGTCTTGAAGATGGCTTAAAGATAGCTAGGAGTCTTGAAGATGGCTTAAAGATAGCTAGGAGTCTTGAAGATGGTTTAAAGATAGCTAGGAGTCTTGAAGATGGTTTAAAGATAGCTAGGAGTCTTGAAGATGGCTTAAAGATAGCTTAAAGACAGCTTAAAGACAGCTAGGAGTCTTGAAGAGAGCTTCAAGAGAGCTTCAAGAGAGCTTAAAGACAGCTAGGAGTCTTCAAGAGAGCTTAAAGACAGCTAGGAGTCTTGAAGAGAGCTTCAAGAGAGCTTAAAGACAGCTAGGAGTCTTCAAGAGAGCTTCAAGAGAGCTTAAAGACAACTTAAAGACAGCTAGGAGTCTTGAAGAGAGCTTCAAGAGAGCTTAAAGACAGCTAGGAGTCTTCAAGAGAGCTTCAAGAGAGCTTAAAGACAGCTTAAAGACAGCTAGGAGTCTTCAAGAGAGCTTCAAGAGAGCTTAAAGACAGCTTAAAGACAGCTAGGAGTCTTGAAGAGAGCTTCAAGAGAGCTTAAAGACAGCTAGGAGTCTTCAAGAGAGCTTCAAGAGAGCTTAAAGACAGCTTAAAGACAGCTAGGAGTCTTGAAGAGAGCTTGAAGACAGCCAGCAGTCTTGAAGACAACCCGGGGAGTGATCTTGCCACCAACATGATCAGCTGACATCTCTTTTACCGCAACAACACAACACAAACCACCAATCTTCCTTCACAAGTAGTTAATGACACCCTCAGGTATTAACTTGATACCCTGGTATTAACTTGATACCCTGGTATTAACTTGATACCCTGGTATTAACTTGATACCCTGGTATTAACTTGATACCCTGGTATTAACTTGATACCCTGGTATTACCTTGATACCCTGGTATTAACTTGATACCCTGGTATTAACTTGATACCCTGGTATTAACCTTGATACCTGGTATTAACTTGATACCCTGGTATTAATTGATACCCTGGTATTAACTTGATACCCAGGTATTAACTTGATACCCTGGTTTTTAACTTGATACCCTGGTATTAACTTGATACCCTGGTATTACCTTGATACCCTGGTATTAACTTGATACCCTGGTATTAACTTGATACCCTGGTATTAACTTGATACCCTGGTATTACCTTGATACCCTGGTATTAACTTGATACCCTGGTATTACCTGATACCTGGTATTAACTTGATACCCTGGTATTAACTTGATACCCTGGTATTACCTTGATACCCTGGTATTAACTTGATACCCTGGTATTAACTTGATACCCTGGTATTAACTTGATTTCCCTGGTATTACCTTGATACCCTGGTATTAACTTGATACCCTGGTATTAACTTGATACCCTGGTATTACCTTGATACCCTGGTATTAACTTGATACCCTGGTATTAACTTAGATACCCTGGTATTAACTTGATACCCTGGTATAACTTGATACCCTGGTATTAACTTGATACCCTGGTATTAACTTGATACCCAGGTATTAATTTGATACCCTGGTATTAACTTGATACCCTGGTATTAACTTGATACCCTGGCATTAACTTGATACCCTGGTATTAACTTGATACCCTAGTATTAACTTGATACCCTGATGTTAACTTGATACCCTGGTATTAACTTGATACCCTGGTATTAACTTGATACCCTGGTATTAACTTGATACCCTGGTATTAACTTGATACCCTGGTATTAACTTGATACCCTGGTATTACCTTGATACCCTGATATTACCTTGATACCCTGGTATTAACTTGATACCCTGGTATTAACTTGATACCCTGGTATTACCTTGATACCCTGGTATTAACTTAATACCCTGGTATTAACTTGATACCCTGGTATTACCTTGATACCCTGGTATTAACTTGATACCCTGGTATTAACTTGATACCCTGGTATTAACTTGATACCCTGGTATTAACTTGATACCCTGGTATTAACTTGATACCCTGGTATTAACTTGATACCCTGGTATTAACTTGATACTGGTGTATTAAGCACCATCTGACCTACATAAACAACACATAACACTCTCCCTAAGATAACAAGAGAATGCCTCTTCTTCTCGGCTTCAAACTGACGTTTCTTCCTGCAAGGTTTGACTCACTACTGAGACTTATGTGTCCTGCAGTGCCATGGTTACTGTAGACTTGTGTTTCTGTTACGTTGTTAATGTTATTGTTGGTCTGCGAGGCTGATGCCCCCCTCTACACTATTCCTTTCACGTGCATTGATGTACAGGAAGCAAGGTTAGAGCAACACTGGGATACCTTCCCCAAGTTCGAGGAAGCAGGAAGTGTCATCGGGACTCAGGGGCCCAGGAGCTGGAGGTCATCATTAGTACAGAGAGCTGTGGTGCTTCTGGCTATAAGAACTAGATCTGACTAATTAGCTTTCATTTTCCTGTCAGTCATAAGGTTTTTTTAAGTACGTATTACATTTGTGAATTATTAATTTACTATAGTTTACCATGAATCGTTAATTTACTACAGTTTACCATGAATCGTTAATTTACTATAGTTTACCATGAATCGTTAATTTACTATAGTTTACCATGAATCGTTAATTTACTATAGTTTACCATGAATTGTTAATTTAGTAAAGTTTACCATAAATCGTTAATTTACTGTAGTTTATCAAACAACAATTTACATTTTCTATGGTGAGGCGCTGGTTGTCATGGCAACCAGTGTAAACAACATCCCTATCTCAGTTCACCTTCATTGTTTATTCATTATTAACCTACTATACACTGCCCTATGTGTATACCTTGCATACAGTGTATTGTGCCGGTTAACAGGTGTGTCGGTGGTAAATATTGTGGCAGTTATAGTGCACACCGGCAGTTGAATTAACACAAATTTTTCAATAGGAGGCCTGGTCACAGACCGGGCCGCGGGGGCGTTGACCCCCGGAACTCTCTCCAGGTAAACTCCAGGTAGCTTCTTATTTTGTTATTTACACGATCAGGATACATACATACATGTATGCAAATATACGATCGACACCATGCCCAGCCCTTCTCAGGTAGGGTAGGTGCCTGAGCCCGAGCCTTCAGCTCATAAGACTGTCATTCCCATTAGCCCCCTTGGGGCGAGGATGGCAGACCAGAGAGGCCTAGCTTGTGGCTAGGCCTGGGGACAGTTGGTCCCAAAGATGAGGAGGTACTTGTGCCTCCTCCCATGGGAGACTTAGGTCTCAGACACTCCCTAAAGAGGGAGTCAAGGCCGGGCCACCACTTGGAAAAGGCCCGGGCCGGGAGAATACCAGCTAATCTTTAATAATAATAATAATAATATGCAAATATACCAGAATACATACATACATGCATACAAATATACCAGAATACATACGTACATGCATACAAATATACCAGAATACATACGTACATGCATACAAATATACCAGAATACATTCGTACATGTATGCAAATATACCAGAATACATTCGTACATGTATGTAAATATACCAGAATACATACGTACATGCATACAAATATACCAGAATACATACATGTATACAAATATACCAGAATACATTCGTACATGTATGCAAATATACCAGAATACATACATGTATACAAATATACCAGAATACATTCGTACATGTATGCAAATATACCAGAATACATACATGTATACAAATATACCAGAATACATACATACATATATACAAATATACCAGAATACATTCGTACATGTATGCAAATATACCAGAATACATTCGTACATGCATACAAATATACCAGAATACATACATGTATACAAATGTACCAGGATACATACATATATATATATATATATATATATATATATATATATATATATATATATATAAATATACCAGGATACATACAGTGGTAAAAATTCTGTAATGTATCACTTGTGTATTTCTGAGACGTTTGTCCTCTTGTGTTTAGAAGTGAGGGAAGTACTGGAGCCACCGTCATCCCAGACTCTACAAGACAGTGTCTAGAAGACAGTGTCTAGAAGACAGTGTCTAGAAGACAGTGTCTACAAGACAGTGTCTACAAGACAGTGTCTACAAGACAGTGTCTACAAGACAGTGTCTACAAGACAGTGTCTAGAAGACAGTGTCTAGAAGACAGTGTCTAGAAGACAGTGTCTAGAAGACAGTGTTTAGAAGACAGTGTTTAGAAGACAGTGTTTAGAAGACAGTGTTTAGAAGACAGTGTCTAGAACAGTGTCTAGAAGACAGTGTCTAGAAGACAGTGTCTAGAACAGTGTCTAGAAGACATTGTCTAGAAGGCAGTGTCTAGAACAGTGTCTAGAAGACATTGTCTAGAAGGCAGTGTCTAGAAGACAGTGTCTAGAAGACAGTGTCTAGAAGACAGTGTCTAGAAGACAGTGTCTAGAACAGTGTCTAGAAGACATTGTCTAGAAGGCAGTGTCTAGAACAGTGTCTAGAAGACATTGTCTAGAAGGCAGTGTCTAGAAGGCAGTGTCTAGAAGACAGTGTCTAGAAGACAGTGTCTAGAAGACAGTGTCTAGAAGACAGTGTTTAGAAGGCAGTGTCCTAGTCTTAGCAACGTCTAGCGTCATACAAGCCACAAAATCCTATGCCTTGGCCTGTCTCCTAGCTCCTAGCAACGTCTAGCATCATACAAGCCACAAGATCCTATGTGTTGGTCCGTCTCCTAGCTCCTAGCAACGTCTAGCATCATACAAGCCACAAGATCCTATGTGTTGGTCCGTCTCCTAGCACCTAGCAACGTCTAGCACCACAGGGAGCTCCTTGTTCATAATGAGGGAGATTTGTGGATCACCGGGGGCGTCCGCCCCTTCTTCCGGGGCATCACCCGCCGCCCACACCACCCACTCCTCCGCTACCGTCAGCGCTGACACCCTCAAAAGTGGCATTGGGTTGGCTTGGACGGTGTCTGGGGGTAGTGGCAGGGGCGTGGGCGGCCCTACCGCTGTCGCTGCAGGAGTGGGCGGCACTGCCGCAGGAGTGGGTGGCGCTAGCCCACGTCTGGGCAGCAGCACCGTCAGCATGGCCAACGTGTTGGAGTTTCTGCTGACTTCAGCGCAGCTGCATCGCGTAGCTGCTGCTACCACTGACAAGGTCAGCAGACTTGTTCACTAGTATACTGTTATCACTGATAAGGTGTCAGCAGACGTGTTCACTGGTATACTGATACCACTGACAAGGTGTCAGCAGACGTGTTCACTGGTATACTGATACCACTGACAAGGTGTCAGCAGACTTGTTCACTGATATACTGCAACAAAATGTACTTTGTCCTTATCCAGGTAGCGTTCACTCCAGCACATGACCTGCACATCCCCTACCCTTCCTAAATCCTTCTTCTTCCTCTACAATCCTGCTCTCCATCTCATCGTCTTATTATTTAAATAATAATTCTAACATACACTTTACCTGATATAGTCAATGGGTTTATTCCCCTATAATTTTTACTCTCTTTGTCTATCTCTGTCTCTCTTGCCTCATTGTTCCCTTATACAGAGACACATTTGCTTGCTACCTGGCAATCTCTACATACTGTCTGTTACTTCTTACATATAATGGACATACCAGCCACCCTACCTGGAGTTTACCTGGAGAGAGTTTCGGGGGTCAACGCCCCCGCGGCCCGGTCTGTGACCAGGCCTCCTGGTGGATCAGCGCCTGATCAACCAGGCTGTTGCTGCTGGCTGCACGCAAACCAACGTACGAGCCACAGCCCGGCTGATCAGGAACTGACTTTAGGTGCTTGTCCAGTGCCAGCTTGAAGACTGCCAGGGGTCTGTTGGTAATCCCCCTTATGTGTGCTGGGAGGCAGTTGAACAGTCTCGGGCCCCTGACACTTATTGTATGGTCTCTTAACGTGCTAGTGACACCCCTGCTTTTCATTGAGGGGATGGTGCATCGTCTGCCAAGTCTTTTGCTTTCGTAGTGAGTGATTTTCGTGTGCAAGTTCGGTACTAGTCCCTCTAGGATTTTCCAGGTGTATATAATCATGTATCTCTCCCTCCTGCATTCCAGGGAATACAGGTTTAGAAACCTCAAGCGCTCCCAGTAATTGAGGTGTTTTATCTCCGTTATGCGCGCCGTGAAAGTTCTCTGTACATTTTCTAGGTCGGCAATTTCACCTGCCTTGAAAGGTGCTGTTAGAGTGCAGCAATATTCCAGCCTAGATAGAACAAGTGACCTGAAGAGTGTCATCATGGGCTTGGCCTCCCTAGTTTTGAAGGTTCTCATTATCCATCCTGTCATTTTTCTAGCAGATGCGATTGATACAATGTTATGGTCCTTGAAGGTGAGATCCTCCGACATAATCACTCCCAGGTCTTTGACGTTGGTGTTTCGCTCTATTTTGTCCCAACCCACTTTTAATATTTCTGTCTTCATCATATTTGCTTTACCTCCTTTCCACACACTGCCTCGTGCACTTCCCTCACACACAGCCTTTCATTCCACACACTGCCTCATGCATCTCCCTCACACACAGCCTTTCATTCCACACACTGTCTCATGCATTTCCCTCACACACAGCCTTTCATTCCACACACTGCCTCATGCATCTCCCTCACACACAGCATTTCATTCCACACACTGCCTCATACATCTCCCTCACACACAGCCTTTCATTCCACACACTGCCTCATGCACCTCCCTCACACTCGCATCTGGGTCTTCCTCACTCCTACCAGTTGTTACACCTCCCTGCCCAATATACTTGAAATTACTGCCGTTTTCATCATCAATATGTAAAAACACCTCAAAATATTCTTTTTATCTTTAAATAACAATAAATAATAAAAATACTTCTTCTACTGCTACTGCTACTACTACCACTGTTTCTATTACTACTATTACTACTACTACTAATAATAATAATAATAATCAGAATAATCATAATCAGGTTCGGTCTGGAGGTCGGTTGATCACAAGCTGTGGAGGTCAGGATGACCAAAGTGGAGGTCGGGGCGGCCCGGCCTCCAGCGGCGTCAGCGGCAGCATCAGCAGCAACGGCGTTAGCGTCAGCGGCAGTGGTGTCAGCAGCGCTGGCGTCAGCAGCGGTGGCACCTCCACCAGCATACTTCCTTCGCCCTCAGAGACGTGGGCTCGTCTCCTAGGTAACCCAGCATCATCCCTGCAGGAGCAGACCCTGGCTCTCCTCCAGATGGCGCTGCAGGTAAGACAGTCCCGCTACTGCAACCATCAACCTGGGTCCTTGTAGGCCCTTGTACCACAATGACCTGACTGGTCAGAGACGGGGGATCGAGTCTGTACGACTCCTGTGAAGGACTCGCATGGGTATAGAACTATGTGAAGCTATGTGAAGAGGTGTGTACACCTCCAGCCATGTACACATGTACTTCACGTACCTCTAAACCCGTGTGAGTGCTTCAAGGAGTCGTGCAGACTTGATCCTCCTTACACACATTTAAGCTGCTAGTCTCCTCTACACTGACGTTCAAAAATATTTTATCCTCTTAAATAGAGAATCAAGTATACTACTGTGTATACTGTGATACAGTAAGCTACACATCTCTTGCTGTATATACACTAAGGGATACCTATTTCTGTGTATATATATATAGCGGGAGAAAGTAAGTTTATTCAGGTATACACAAATACAGTTACATAGATTATCATACACAGCAACTTATGTGTAGAAAACCCAGGATAACCCAAGAAAGTCAGATAAAGTGACATATTTCACTTCTGTATACACACTTTTCTATGTATATACACATCAATATACACACATCTTTATGTATATACACTGGAAGTTACACTATCAGAGCTATACAGTGTGGCCCATACGGGTTTAGGGATTCCTCATTAACGTTATGGCAATAATTTGTGTGAGTTAATCAAGCCTCATCAGCCCGGGTGTCGAACCCTGTCATCATGCCCTTTCTTTCTCTCTCCCTCCACCCCCGCCCCAGGATGGTCTACTGGACTCTATCCTACCATACATGGTGGCTTCTCTAAACCTGGGCGGGGCGCCCACCCTCACGCCCATGCCTACAACGCCTGCTCGCTCGCCCACGCCCACGCCCAAGGGGGCGTCATCTGTGAAAGGTGGAGGCTGTCTGGTAGCTTGTTCCACCCCTCGCACGTAAGTGAGAGAGAGAGAGAGAGAGAGAGAGAGAGAGAGAGAGAGAGAGAGAGAGAGAGAGAGAGAGAGAGAGAGAGAGAGAGAGAGAGAGAGAGACAGAGAGAGAGAGAGAGAGAGAGAGAGAGAGACAGAGTAGAGAGAGAGAGAGAGGTAGGAGAGAGAGGAGAGAGAGAGAGAGAGAGAGAGAGAGAGAG